AATTTATTAAATTAAAAAAAATCTCTATCAAAGAATGAAATAGAACACAACTCTTTTATTAGAACACTGTCGAATTATTAAAATTAATTATCATCTTAATTTTAAGTTCTGATTAATTTTTTTTTACTTATATTTCTTTTGAGAATATTTAAATTCTACCTTACTAATATAATTTTTTAATTTAGAAAGTAATCAAATGTAACGCCCCGTTTTTTTTTTCTTCAACGGTATTGTCTCAAATACATTAGCATACCGAACACCCATATCTCATTTTAAATCAATCATACACATAAAGAAAAGTACGGTAACCAATTACTCAATTTCTAATAGAAATTCTTAACTGTAAACGTATCAATATAATAGCTTATGAATTTCATAAATCCATATTTTTATATATGATTTACATTACTACCATATACGTAATTATCTCATTCTACCAGTAGTAAACTCTGCTCCGTTTTCTCTATACGCTAGGTTTGAAAACCTGCAACTCCGATCCAGTCTTCAGTCCTACTTCATCTATAATTAATATGGAATAAGTACATACAACTCAGTACAGTAAATTTAAATCACAAATATAGCATGAAAACCCAATTAAAAGTCTATTCTTCTATGTTTTCCCTTCTCGTTACCTTGGTCATGCTTTCTTTCCTACCCCCAACCCCCACTACTATTCATCTAACTCTACTGTAACTACCATGTCTCCTCGATGATCAATTGTCAATAATACTAGGTGTGGTCACCTCCTAACATCATCCCCTCGACCTTGATTCGGCCACTCACCCACACTGTTACCCCCATTCGTCATCAGTATCGGCGACCACTCTTTCCTTTTCCACCACTCGAACCCCAGGTGGCCAACCACACACACACACGTTACTGTTTTTTTTTCGTCACCAACATCAGCAATTCAACTTGTTACAAATCTTGCAACCCCCAAGTATCACCAATATCGGCGATCGACTTACCCTTTCTAAGTGACGACAACCAATATCGATGTCCCTACCTCAACCACCACTAATGCAACCTCACCCCGTCCCTACTCAATATGCCCCACATATATGCATACTTGGCCCACATGTCATGTCATTCCAACTTCAGTTATTACCAAATAACTAACATTGTCATGCAGTTCTCAAATTTACAAGCATATTTTCATAATATACACCAATGCACACCCACATAAACACATATCCACACAAATACATATCCATAAAAATACTCACACACACAACCCCTACATATATACGCTCGTTGTTCCCTAACCTTCATCTTAATCCCTTTTCTCTTCCACTCACTTCACCCCTCATCACAACTGCCACTATCACTCTTTCCAAATGTTCCCACACTCAGTCCCTCTCTTCCCTATTTCTTGTGTTTTTTTTTCCGGCTCTCAGCACTCTTCTCTCTATCATTATCAATCTCTCTCAACATTTCGTCTTTCTCTCTCTCTCAGCATTTCACCTCCCATTCTCCCGTACGTGTTCTGCTTCTCCCAACTCACCCTTCCCGTACCAGTTCACCTCTCCTCCCCACAAATTCTCTTACACCTATTCACTCGCCATCCTCTTTCCTCTAACCGTAACCAAAACCTTTCCTTAACTCTCTCATTCCTTACTTCCTCTACTTCCTTTTCTAGTTTCTCACACTGTCTAGACGATACATTTTCGTACCTATCAACCTCTCCTCCCATGGCTTCCTCCACTTTTCTTTGCTCATAACCCCAGTCGAATTGTTTTGCCAGTCATGATCTCTCTCTACTCTCCTATTCCATCAATCAACCATTTCCTATTTTTATTTTCTTTGTTGTTTATACATTCTTTCAACATTTGCAAAAATAAATCTATAGTTTATCATCATCCTATATTCGAAATTTAAATTCACCATATCTCCGGTCTCCATCTTTTTTCCGCACCTCCGTAGTTCGCACCGTCGACTTCCTCCTTTTCTTGCTCTCTCTTCTCATTCCTTCCCTCTCTCTAGAATCTTCTTTCACCAGCTTCCTCCTTCCCTTTCTGATTCTCCCTTTTTCTTTCCTCAATTTTTTCCCTTTTCTCTTTTTTTTTTTTTTTCTGTTTCTTCCTCCTATTTATACTCCACCTACTACACATCCTGGTCGTCCATCCCATCTCCCCCTCTACACGCATCCTGGCCATCCATCACATCTCTCCATCTACATTCCTCCTAAATGGCACAGTTCACTCCTCTCCCTCTCCCCTATATATATTTATATATTATTATTATTATTATTATTATTACCATGTACGTATATAAATACATTTTTTTACCCAAATCTCAGTTATTACATCAATTGTCCTTTTTAATTATTTAATGAAATGGTAATTTAAAAATTTATAATTCAATAAATAAATTAAATAATAAAAAAAACTTTTGACTAAAAATTATGCGAACTTTTTTTAATAAAAAAATTAGTTGTGGAAGTTCATTTCTCCACTTAGATATTCAGTACAAAGTGTTCTTATAACTCCCTCATGTTCTCTTCTCATTCCATGTGCAGCAATATATCCTTTGTTCATCCCAAAAGAGAAAGAAGCAACCTTTCTCATAATCATCTTGGAGCTTTACATCATCACTACTAATGGAGTTTCCCGCCATTTCATTCTTCCAATCCCATCACTTCTTTCCAATTTTCACACCCATGGCGGTCGTCATCCTTCTTTCAGCTACCTTGATTTATGCAGCTGTAAGATCACTACACAAGTTTTGGTGCAGCTGTGAAATTTGCAGAAGCTATGTCTCCTCATCCTGGTCAAAGTCCTTCACCAACCTCAGTGACTGGTACACTTATCTTCTCCAAAACTCTCCCACTCAAACCATTCATCTCCATGTTTTATCCAACACAATCATCACTGCTAACCCTTCTAATGTTGAACACATTCTCAAGACCAAATTTCATAATTACCCAAAAGGAAAACCTTTCTCCACAATCCTTGGTGATCTTCTTGGAAAAGGTATCTTCAATGTTGATGGAGATTCATGGCTGTTTCAGAGAAAAATGGCTAGTCTTGAACTTGCCAGAATATCTATAACGAGATATGCATTTGAAATTGTTTCCCAAGAGATCAAATCCCGTCTTCTTCCTTTACTTTCTTCTTCTGTTTCCCAACAAGTAGTATTCGATTTGCAGGAAGCTTTTCGTCGATTCTCCTTCGATAATATCTGCAGATTTTCATTTGGATTAGACCCTAAATGCCTTGATTACTCATTCCAAGTCTCTCATTTCGCTGATTCTTTCGACCTGGCATCGAAAATATCAGCAGAAAGAGCAATGGCAACGTTACCCTTTTTGTGGAAGATGAAGAGGTTTTTCAAAATAGGAAATGAAAAAAAGTTAAAGGAAGCCATTGAAGTTATCAACATGATTGCCATGGAAGTCATATTACAAAAAAGGAAACTAGCCTCATTCTCCTCCAATCAAGATCTTCTTACAAGATTCATGGCTTGTGTCAATGATGATTCATACCTAAGAGACATAGTCATAAGGTTCATTTTAGCAGGCCGAGACACCATGGCATCTGCCTTGACTACATTGTTCTATCTCCTCTCAAACACCCACAAGTTATTGTCAAAATCCAACAGGAATCTAGCCAAGTCCTGTCACGTAATCAAGAACTCCCCAGGTATGACCAAATCAGGAATATGCATTACTTACATGCTGCAATCTATGAAAGTTTGAGACTTTACCCA